CTTCCTCCTGATCTTTTTCAGAGATCACAAGATCACTCCCAAAATGATGTTCATCATGTGGTTCAGTGGTGAGACTATATACACATATATAATATTATATAATATATAAATCCCTCATGAGCTCCCTCCAGGAAATTAAGGAATATTTGTATATAAACACACACATATATATATATATATATATATATATATATGAATATATATGTGTGATTTTGTCCTTTTCCAGGTCTCAGAGGAGCGATCCCTTATGCTCTCAGCCTTCACCTGGGATTGGAGCCTATTGAGAAGCGACAGCTGATTGGCACCACAACCATCATCATCGTCCTCTTCACCATTCTCTTCTTGGGGGGTGGGACCATGCCACTCATCCGAATTATGGACATCGAGGAGAACCATTTAAGGAGAAAGAACAAGAAGGACATCAATCTGAGCAAGACAGAAAAAATGGTAAAGACTCTCTCTCTGTCTCTATCCCACACACACACATACTGTATACGTATATGTCTGGCAACTTTAAAATGGTTTGTCTTTTGTTTTCTGATTAAACCTTTGGAGGTTTTGCAGATTCAATTTTGTTGGCCTCAACATGGCCATCCTGTGAGGTACCTCAGGGTACACCATCAGGCCAATCCTGTTTCTACAGTACAGGTTTCTTTTACATCAGGCAGGTGTCTAACTGTTTTACTTTTGTGTTCCTGCTGTAGGATCCAGCAGCTGTCGACTACATCTGACTCACTGAGTTGTTCTTCTTCTCCCTCCACTTCCATCTCCTTTAAAATATTCTCCTCCTCCTCCTCCTTTGTCTCCAGGGAAACACCATTGAGTCTGAACACCTTTCAGAACTGACAGAGGAGGAGTACGAGGCGCACATCTGCCACAGACAGGATCTGAAGGGCTTCATGTGGTTGGATGCCAAGTACTTTAACCCATTCTTCACCCGGAGGCTGACACAGGAGGTGAGAACAAACTGTCATTAATCAATGTGTCCACAGGAGGAGCACTTTTACCACTAGCTTTCAATGTTATAACTTCATGGATCAGACACAGGATCAATTATCACCTTGGGTTAGGGTGGGAGTGGGGGGTACATTCATTTTTTTATGTTTTTAATAAGATCCGCTTCTACGACCTGTAAGACTGTTTCCTAGATTACATCTGGATGTTGTGTTCCAACACTGTCCTGTGTGTGTGTATGTCTATGCTGAAGAAATGACAACAGTTAAAGAAACTTGTAACTGTATTTTGCAGAATGTAAACAACAATCAGTCTGATGTTCTTACCCATTAATATTAGCCTAATAACAAACCACACAGTGGAACCAGAAGTTCATCTCCGTGGAGACAGACCATTATTGATTCATCCTTCAGAAAAGGTCAAAACTAATAATGCAACTCAAAAAGACTTTAAACAGATTTAAACAGCCAAGACCAGAGATACGTAAACGTTTAAATAATTTCTCTCTAAAAGGAGGTCTGGCTCTTCAAAGAGAGAGTAAAACACTGTTGTGAGTGACCAAAATAAAGAGAAACCAGACCTGGACCAGTAGCAGGGATCATGTGCTGCAGTGCTGCCAGACTAGGTTGTTGAAGAGATGCTGGAGCAGACCCGATATGATGGTGATAAAGAGGGAACATGGGGTGTTAGAGATGAATGGGGATTAAAAAAAAACAAAACTTACCTCAAATAGGAGGTGAAGTGGGTGGGGATACGTGAGTGGGTCATGATGTTGTCTGGGCCCAGCAGGGATCCTTCCGGTTGATCCAAAACCACTAGCTGCTTCTTTGATTAAAGTGTCTGTCACGGAGCCTGTTCACGTATACCGAGGTCTTTTGAGCCCGATGCGCTCATAGCCGTCTTTGGCTGCATTCTCCCATGGGACTGTGAGCTCATTAATGTTGACTGATCATGGACAGTCACTTTCACGTTTGTTATTGGACTCAGTGAAAAAGCCTCTAATGCTCTTTTTTTCTAGAAAGGCCTTGGAGAAAACTAGGCTTTAGCAGGAGCTGGCTGTTATTGCTAGCAGTTAGACGAAATTTTAATTAATTAAATAAATGCCTAACTAAAGTATAATATAATAAATATAAAATAGTCTAAAGTGAATCTTCCAACATAGCTAAAATGATAATTATACTGGACCAAAGACTGAGTTCCTAAGCAGGGCTGACCTGCTTCTCTTCTAGGCACATAGCACAGTAGAGGTGACCTTTACAGAGCTAGCCTTGACCTTTCGTAGCCCCTTGTGGGCACCATGTGAAAATGTTAGTTTTTTTTTGTTACTCTGGTTCTTTTCATACCAGACCTCAGCCTCTACTAACCTGGAGCTCAAGGCTACAGTTCAGAATCAAACTTCTAATTTCTCTCTCTCTCTAGGATCTGTTACACGGTCGAATCCAAATGAAGACACTGACCAACAAGTGGTATGAAGAAGTTCGTCAGGGACCTTCAGGCTCAGAGGATGAGGAGGATGAAGCTGAAGTTCTCTGAAGTTTCTGTGTGTGTGTGTTAATCCTTTAATGAAGTAAAAAAAAAGAAAGAAAAAGAATCAAAGATTATTTTTCAGCCACTGTTGTCTTCAACATCAGGTGGAGAGTTTTCATACAGTACCAATGCTGAATCAAGTCCACCACCTCTAACCTTTCACCCCACGTACAACTTTGGAGTAGTAGTGTCTGTCCTGCTGCCACATGTTTTACATGTACCACAGTTTGAGAAACTGTGGAAGGACTGAGGAAGTGTCAGTGTAACTTATTGTGAAGAAGGAGAACCTGTGGAAGGACAATAACAGCTGCTTGTTGGAGTGTCAGTGTAACTTATTGTGAAGAAGGCTTCACTTCTGTATCCGTCAATGTCGGTTCTAAGTGCAGATCGGTTTAATCTGAACCAGTTTACCATAAGATAACTGTTCTGGTCTCCTCATCCAAGAGTCGTTTTCAGCTCCGACTGCTGGAAAGGCAGGAATGTTGTGAATGCTACTATGTATATGAATAATACTATGTGAAAATTATATGCAGTTTTCACTTAAGATCAGGAAAAATGAAATACATTTTATATATTTTCCTCAGAGGCCCAGTATCCACTAACCCATGGACCAGTATCAGCCCGGGAGCTGATGGTTGATGACCTCTGGTATTTTACACGTTGGGTTTTGTCTACATTGCTGTCAAAGTTCAAACAGCTTTGAGGCAAATGTTATTTGAGCTAAATCGTTATCTTGACTTGACGGAATGTGATCATATTTGAACTACTGTTTTCTGTTTATTTTCTAGTTATTATGCTAGTGATGACAAACAACTGGACTTCAGCTCTAACTGCTACTGAAATAAATCACTGTTGACTGTGTGTGTGTGTGTGTGTGTGTGTGTGTCAGTCAAACCTGCTGCTCTCTTCACTGCTGACACAGCTGCCAACTCTTTGGATACTGGAGACAGTTCTGCTGTCTTTAAAACAAAGTTAGAGTTTAATACGAGTTTAAACAGCAACACACATTTTAAAGACAAAGAATAAAATATTCTTATTTCTTTTCTATTGACACCAAGAAACACAAACATTTTACCTGACATCTACAGGGCCTGGGAGAGTGGAGGAAGTTCTTCCTGATTGGCCAGTTTTCAGTGCAGGTGAGTTTTAATCTGTTTACTTCAAGATAATGAGTCTGTCCCATGTGTCCAGGAGCATCATGGGAGAATAGCCCAAAACCCCCAGAGACAACAGCCACTGTCACACACTGAGCAAATTAGTAACAACACATTACCGTGGTCATGACCACAAAGTCCAGTCATATGATGGTTCGATTCCCAGAGGAACCACATGCTTGGCGCTTGCTAGGGGCAGCCTGTTAACAGCATATCTGCTGCTAACACAACTATTTCCCAAATATGGGACCAATATAGTACAAATTTATTTTATTTAGCCTCCACTCTGTGCTTAAACAAAGAAAGTTAACAGCTTTCCTAAATTATTTTGGGTTAAATATTTAGTAAATGCATAGACAAGTAAAAGAAAACTATTTATGTGAGGCTGAAACTGCTGGTGATGAGGTCGTTCTGCCTGGGCACTTGTTTCTCATTGGTCCATTTTCTGAAGGGAAGTTCTATCTCTTATGTATTCTCACTGAAAACCCATCTTGTAGGAGGTGTGTGTGTGCGTGTGCGTGTGTGTCTGTCTGTGTACAACTCAAAAATGCGCTTAATGATCTGTTCATCAGAAAGTATTCAACATGTCACATTTTAATTTTTCAATATCAGAGCAGCATAAACCCCAGTCATGTCAACACAAACAACGTGAAATTGTTCTCACCGCAGTGTCTCACTGTTGTCTTAATGCCACACACACACACATTCAGAGCCAAAAGATTATTTCTATATATGGTGTATACATACTGTAAATGTATGTGTGTACACACAAACTATCAGTGTTTTTTTTTCATTTCACAATGTAAGCTTGCACGCGCACCCACCCACCCACACACACACACACACACACACACTGTGTGCTTATGAATTCATGATATAAATGTTATTTATATTTAAATCATTTAGGAATCTTTAGCCAAAGTAAATAAGTTATTTTTGAGATAGTCATTTCAGATGAAAGCGATTTTCTTCGTTTGTTTTTTTGTTTTGTTTTTTTAAAGCTACAACATCACATGACATGTTAAAAAAAAAG